GGTGTAACTCCATTACAACCGCGTGAGGCTCGCAAAGCATCGCTGTAAAAACAGCACGTCCTGTACACACAGCACGTCCTGTACACACAGCACGTCCTGTACACACAGCACGTCCTGCACACACAGCCCCTCGGCCCCCGGCCCGAGGGAGCCCCGGCTAAGCCCGCTCGTCCCCCACAGCCCCCCGGCAGTCCCGGCTCAGCCCGGCCCGGCTCTGCCCTCACCGCGGCCCCGCGGCGGTCGCTCGGCAACGGGGCGGCCGCGCTGGGCCGTGACACTGCCGGCTGCTGTCCCCTCAGCGGCAGTTCAGCTGCCTCTGATGGCGAAAGGACAAAAACTTTTGGAAAAACAACTTCTTTTTTCTTTTTCTTTTTTTTTTTTTTTCTTTTCAACCTTCTTTCTCTCCTCCCCTCCGCCCCCCTTTTGTGTTCTCACTTTCGGTATTAAAGGGCCATGCCCTGAAAAATAATCCTGAAAAACCTTTTTTAATGTGGTGGTTTTCATACCACATATGAATTACTTTACTTTTCCCTGCATGGGCACAGGGAAAGAAAGTTTTCTTCCCTATTTTTTTTTTTTGCCTTCAGACAGGTGATCGATGAGACTGAGAAATGCTGAATTAATGCTGAATGTTGCTATTCTGCTATTTTGCTTAAGATACCTTGGCATCCCTTCTAATTGTCCCAAACCCATACACTCTCTACACTCCCAATATAATGGAGGAGCCAAAGAGAAATACTCACGCAATCACGGAGTGGTTTGGATTGGAAGGGACCCTAAACCTCATCTTGTTCCCGCCCCCCACCATGGGCAGGAACACCTTCCACCAGACCAAGTTCCTCCAAGCCCCTGGAACTCCAAGTTCCTCCAACCTGGCCTTGAACAGTTATAGGGATGGGGCACCCACAGCTTCTCTGGGCAATCTGTGCCAGTCCCTCACTGGCTTCTTCACTGATATATCCTGCATTAGGCAACATAAAAAATAAATTCAAGACTACTGGCTGCCCAATCTCCTCCAGCCATTGGGTGTTTTACATTTTTCTTAGGTGTGAATGTGCATTTGGAACAAACAGTATTCATGGCCCTGACGCTTTTCTCATGATGTCTTAAATATAGGCTTAGTACAGAAAGCCAGAAATATTTCCAGAATGTTTTTTTTTCCTTATATATTCTAAAAATAAAACTATTCGCTTTCAGTTTTTTAACGTAGAGGTAAAATGTGACTCAAATAGTGCAACATTCAATTTAAATAGAAAAGGAAGGAAGAAAAACTTCAGATCATAAAATTCAGCTCCCAAATCATAGTTCCCATACTCAGTAGGATGTAATTGCTGTTAATTAGGAAAAATGACACCTACACCCTTGGCAAGGCTGGGGAGAGATGCTCAAGGACAACAGAATTAAAGCTGTGTTTGGGAGAAAATTCAGGATCAGTGTTGACACTGCCTTTGTGTGAAGTCCAGCAGCTCACTGTTTCACTGTTTCATAGCATGCTTTCTGTTGGAACTCATCCTCACTCACCTCTGCATGTGCCTCGGAGTGCTACAGCACTCTCAAGGCATGTAAGCCCTCAGAGAGGTACCTAAAGCACCTTCTGCCTGCCAAACCTCCTTTCCTGTGTGCACTCACCTCTTCCTCGCAGCTCCCTGTGTGCAGCTATCTGCCTTGGGCAGAGCTTTGGCCATTTGGGGATTCGGCCATCAGGGGAAGAAAGTAAGCTAGTGCTTTTCCAAATTATCCATTCACCTCAGCTGAGTAAACAGATTAAGGAAGTTTATTCTCCACTTCACAAGCTGGAAGGATAGTTGGAATTCTCTCTTCCAGAATGCATCTGCTAGAGAGCCCTCACAGAGGTCTGCTGCCCAAGAATCAGCTCCTGGGGGCAAGGGGAGATGTCCCTGCAAAACGCTATGGGTTTTTTGTGTGGCCTGGTTGGCACTGAAAATAGAATTGCCAGCTCCAGAACTTAAACATACGGAGTCCCACGCTGAACTTGTTTAGTTCTGTGGATTTAATGGAGGTTTCTTCCTGTTTGCAAGAAAAAGGCCGTGGGAACACAGTACAGCAAATGGCATGTGAACAAATTTCTCCTCCCACAGGAACACAATTTGCATGTACATTTGTCTGTTCGGACAGTGATCTTGAGTGTAAACCAAAATTCATCTCTGCTTTCACATCAGAGCATCTGAATATGATGCACCTCTGGAAAAGCACTCTGTAAGGTTTCTTCAGAGGTAGCAAATGTGTGGGAAAGGTAGGTGAAAAGAGGAGGTTATCAGTCAACAAACCTGCATGTATTTCCTTGGGATGGCTGGTATAATTAAATATTGTGAACCAGGATTTAAATAGCTGATTCTCACCTCAATTTTATCTCTGTATTCCAAATGTCAGATGAAAAATGTGTGGCCTGATAATCAAGCTGTAATAGAGGCATTGCAAGCAATTTAATTATTTAGCAAAGGAAGGAGAAAAAATAGTTATTTGACTGAAGCACTAATGGAAATTTTAAGTTTTAATAAATAAATATTTACAAAGTTGGTTAGTGTTTGATAAGTAAACAATCCTACAATCAGAGTAGTACAAAGCAAAGTAATTTTTTTTATTTATTCCTAAAGTTAAAATAAAAAGTCCTTCAATATTGCATGAATAAATTCTGATGTTTCTTTTCTGGTTTACATAAGAGACTTGAAAGAAATTCCAGCTGTGACAAATTTAAAGTGGATATACTGAGTAGGTATAAATGCACACAGACGAGTGCAATGCTTCATTGTTTAACTAAACAAACACCTCATTTTGGGATATGTAAATTCTTGGTAATAATTCTTTGTGGTCTGCTGCTGTTCTCAGGTTTCCCACCCCTCACTGTGTGCCCAGCACTTGCATCTGCTGCAAGTCAAGCAGTGGCTTGCATAGGTGAGAATTTTCCAGGTTTTATTCTGCATCCAGCTTCTTTCAAATGTTCAGCCTGCACATGAATATAATGAGAGGGTCACAAAACGTTGGTGTTTGAATCCAACATCATGTCTCCAAACTCCTGGGCATCCATTGCCTATTTCAGAAAATGCCCCACATTCCATAGTACATTCAGGAGCAAAGCTCCCTCAATTACACAAACACAGGCAAGACTGCTGGCTTTGAAGGGAAGCTGTTACAATATGAATGGAATAATAAAATATTCCTTCAGCCAAAGGAAGAAAGAGAAGGACTTGGCACCCCACTGAGACGATACAGCATTGCCAGTGTGGTTTCTTCAGACAACTGTAATGACATTGTCTGACTGCCTCTCAGATCTCCTTTTAACAGTTTGTTTAACCCTTTGACCAATTTCAACCAAACTGTGGGAAAGCAGGGCTCCTCAAGAAATGAAAGTCACTACAAGTTTAGTGTGGACAGGGGCAAGGAAGACTAAAGCATTTGCCCTTTTGGAGGGAAAGGATTATGTGTGAGTGTGGGAGCTGAGCAGGTCAGAGGTAGTGTGGGGTTAGAGCAAATGCTGCCACTTGCCTGATTCCTGCTCTGGGGATGTGGGGAGAGATGAGGGTGGGGTGTAGGGATACGGGAAGCCTTGCAACTCAACGTTCCTTGGGAGCACATATAGACATGAACTGGAGTTACTGGGGTCAGAGTGGGCATGGAAAGGGCAGCACTTGCTAGGAAACCCAAATTCCTTCATTGTGCTGCTCCGTGGATGACTTTCTTAATCCAACGGCTGGATTTTCAGTGCACAGGTAAAGAGCCATATGTTTCATGGCCACGGTCATTGACTCTACTGGTAGATCTGGAGCACATCTGCATTCTGGGCAGCCCTTCATCAGGTTTGACCTGTCTGGGGCAATGGGCGGTGGTAAACTGGAATAGGTGGTAAAAGATGTTTTGAGACAAGGTGAGAACTGCTGTGCTTTGAGAAAGAGCACTGGTACACAGTGAAAACTTTGGCTCCTTTTTGAAGCCACATTCCATATTGTGCTACAAGTGAACTTGGCAAGCAAGGGTTTGGAGCACCTACCTTGGCAGCTGAGAGCTCACACCCAGGTCAGCACAAGCCTATTTACACTAGTTTTGCCACAGAAGCAAAACTTGGAAAACAAAGAGTGCTTTGCTGCCAGGGGATGGGACTGCTGAGGAACTGTCTTTGGGGAACCCAAGATAGCTGGACTCTACATTCCAACAACAAGGTACCTGAGGGATCCAAACGCAATGACAACTCGCAACCTATAGCATTGGGTTAAAATGCAGACTGGCTGTTTCTCTGGATGTTGGATAAGAGAGTAAAGTCCAGGGAGCATTTGGAGTCTTTGGAAGGGGTGGGAAGAGCTGATACCCTGTTTACCCTTTCTCTGGTGCCTACCCTAGACTTGAGGTTGTCTTCGGCTCCAGCAGCCGTGCTCACCTGGGCTTGGTTGGACCTGTGGGCAGCCAGCTCACCTGCAGCAGAATGTGTCAGCCTGCTGCTCCCTGGCTCTCTGGGCCGTGTGCTTGCTGATATGCAGAGCTGTCGAGAGCAGAAGCAGTGCAGGCAGCCTGAGTCACATTCCTCCAACTCGGTTTCTCAGCAGAGCACTTATTCCAGGGCTGTATTTCCCCTTGATTGATTACCCCTGCCATTGTGGGGCTGACATCTTGCACAGGAGTCCTGCTCCGTCCCTTGTCATGGGAGCATGAGGAATGATCATTCCCCAGCGACACCCATCGATAACAGTGAATAATAGCCGGGAAAGGAGGCGGACAACAGTAGGAACATGCTCAAGAGAGGGGCTGTAATTCTTGGGATAGGACGCTTCTGCAGAGGAGGAGGAGGAGGAGAGATTGCAGGGTGGACGGGAGGGGGGGGTCTTTTCACTGTTGATACTCTCTAGAGCTCAGCAGCTGGAGAGAAACATTGGCTAGGATGGTCAAAGCTGGGAAGGAAAAAAAGCAAGGAGGGAAAAGGATGAAGTGAAAAGAGCTAGGAGCCACACTGGAGAGCATACAAACATCCTGGTGACCTCTAATGTACGAGGTATGAAGAAAACAGACTGTTATTGACTATGTGGACAATCTGGGTGATAATCTTCTGGATTTCAACTGTCCCGGTAGGTGCTCAGAGCTATTTATTTGCATTTGCATGGAATCACATGTTGTATGAGTAATTGAACCTCTATTCCATGAAGTTGTGGTGTGTCTGTTTAAAAAGATCTGTGCAGAACCTGGGATTTTCAAAATTTTATTCTTATTTCTGCTGCATCCTGCACTAACTGACAGTGGACAGATGACTGGGTGCTGGATGCCTCAGTTTTCCCCACTTGTATAACTACAACAGTGTTACTAACCTGCTTTGGTAAACATAGCAGGTTCTGTGAGGAAGGAGAAAAGATTTGACACCATTTAGGGAAGCTTTACTGATTCACACCAGCAATCAAAACCCTAGGAGGCAATGCCTACCTCTAGCAGTGCCTTCCTGGACTCAGAATGGGGGAATGTTTAACCCACAAAGTTTGGTTTCTTTCTTTTAGGTTTATGACTTGTGGCAGATTGTCACTGCTGATCTCTGGGCTCTCAGATTGGTCAGGAAGGACAGCAGAACCTGGGCTGTGATTTCCAGGTGCTGCTTAGCTCATACAGATTTTGAAGGCATATAAAATAAAGGGTGAGATATGTCCAGCTTGTGACAAGTTAGGGAAGGATCAAATCACTGTTTCATTGCAACTAATGGAAAGATCAATTTATTTGTCCCAGCAGGGAATTTGGTTCCAACTCTGAGAAAACCTGAGCTCTACCTAGATATTTTAATTGCAGAGTGAATGCAGTCTGCAAACTTTTTGCCTTTTGATCATCTTCTACAATGAAAATAGTGACTGTGATGATTTTCTTGTAATTTGGGTTTCTTATTCTTAGTTCTACCTAAAGGACTCTATAAATAGATGTCATTGCTCAGGGTGTCACCAAGAGCATCTCCTTCTATTTGTTCTTTTTCTAGCTTTCAAAACACTTACTTTGATTCTGCCAGGCATCTTTTGTTTTTTAAATCCTCTCATTAAACTAAACCTACTTACTCTCAAATGAAATGGCTGTGAATTTTGTAGCTGCAAATATAAATAATAAGTAGTGTTTAGATCCATTCATTTTGCAGTTTAAAACCTGTAGTTGGCTGTTGCTATCCATATTACAAACTGCAGCTTTTTACCTGTTCTGGACATTGAGTTATCACAGCTATTTCTGTTTGGAATGGGTTTGGTACCTTCTCTTTAAACAAAATATGAGGATGTCTTGTCCCCTGCCTTGCTAGGATAGAGTTAATTCTCTTTTTAGTTGCTGGTAAAGTGTTAAGGACATCAGGGAACTGTTTAGGAAGAGACATAGAAACCGCACGTAGAGGAGCCCCTTTTCCTCCTCGATTTCCAGCTGTGGGGGAGGCTTTTTGCTCCCACTTGTGAAGGGTAAACACGAGTGAGACTGAGCACAGCTGGCAGCAGAGTGGGGTTATCTGGCCATGGCATGAGAAGCGGGTTTCACATCGCTCATCAAACATCCGCACACTTGCACCCAGCCTGCCCGGTCGGATACCAGCGTTGGCAAAGACTGGCTGAGGGACAATGTTTGTGGAAAGCAAGGGTTTTAAACCAGCACCTGAAGGCTTCTCTGCTTTCCCAGGGCTTAAAATCCTGTTACCTGCACATCTATTGCCAGGCAGTGGTATCTAGCTGATCAGAAGGACAGGGTAGATACCACTTTGTGGGGTAAAACAGTAATTGTAAGGCATTAACTATGCCATATTCCTGTTTGAACAACACATTTTATGTGAGAAAGTAATGCTGTATCAGATCATCAGGGTGGTCTTCACATCTGAGTGTGCTAAAAGTGTGTGGCCTCGTTCTAGCCATAAAGAAATAACACAGACTTTAAATCTTTCTGGAACAAAAGCTTTCTTAGGACCTAAATTTCTTAAAAGAAAACAGTGCCCATGCAATGTAGAGGCTTATTTAAGATGAAGTATTCTCCTGTTTCTGAGATTGTTAACATGACTCCTAGCATTTATTTTTACATATGTCCAGTATCACCTTAATAAGCCACATGCAACCCAGACAAATTGTGTTGGCCACTTCAAATACTCAGCACTAATATTGTTTTTTAACATATTTTCAAGACAACTTTGGGCAGTAGAGTATGTTATAGGACTTAGCTGTCATACTTGTGGTTGTGAAGTCTGAAAATGTGCTAAACTGCTTTACTACTGGGAAGAAAATATATAAAAATAGAGGGTGATAAATAATGCACGTTTAAAAAAAAGATCTGTCAATATTTAGAAATTATCAAATTCAGCCTTCAGCTAACAAATGAAATTACTAAATGCAAATACGTTTCTTTAGACATATTAGTCCAGTCAGACATTTCAAAGATTAGGTGGATTTTAAAATTTATTTTTTTTCCAAAGATTACATGGATTAAAAAGCATCTAAATCCTGGCATCAGAGGATAGTTTATTTCATCTTAATTTTTTGCATGTGTGATTCCAGAAAATTCATTACATTGTGCAAAACCAAGTGGTTTCTAGTTTATTTATTTCATGACACACAAAGACAAGGGAGAGGGATGATGAATTTAAATGCACCAGGCCAATTAGATGAGGTATGATACATTGCTGAAAAGATCAAACTTTGTTCAAAAATACAATGCTCAGAAAAATTCTAGCCAAAATAATGGGAATATGGTCTCTGATGTTTGTTAGGCTGAAATTTAATTGTAGAAAAGTAATAGTTCTCATTACAAGGTTTTCAGGGATCGTTCTCTATCCCAAATCTAATCTGAAAGTGATCAGTAATGCTACAAGATTGATTAGGTTAAGTAGGAATATGATGCTGCCGAGTTAACTTTTCCTGAACAAAGGACATAAAAAAGTTCTATCTCATACTTTTCAGCTAATAGATCCTGATGGCTGGCTTTTAATCTTTTCAACATGTGTATATATACGTATGCATATATCTATATCTATATCTATATCTATATCTATATCTATATATATCCTATTGGCCTTTTTAGCCACCAACGCACGTGCAACAAATGTGGGTAGAGCCCTTCCCAAATCTTCGTTCACGAAGTCTAGCCATGAATGAATGAATGAATGAATGAATGAATGTATGTATATATGTACATAAAAGGTCCATAGTGGGAATTTATAAAGATTTTGGGGTTTATTCCTGAGAGAGGAATTATTTAATTTGTTATAATGGGAATCCACTTAGATTCAGTGTTTTTATTGTCAAAAAGAATAGAAAATGATAAAATAATAGAAATGGTAAAAGTACTTTTTTTTCTGCATGATACTGGGACCTTGTCCTGCAAATAATTTTTCAACGATTTTCAATATATATAATTTTAATGATCTGTAGTTGTTTGATGTTCACTTATTTTGGTCCAGCTACATGAAACATAAACACACATTTAATTTTTACATAAGGATTGAGTGAACACTAACACTGTTTTATGAGAAAGGAGGATGGGAAGGTGAGAAAATGACCTCAGGACAAATTACCATCTAGGTTCTCATGAAAATCTGGGTGAGATTCTGCTTTCCGATGGGTTTCTGCAACTGGTCAGCAGCAGTAAAACAGGCTCGGGTGGTCTGCAACAAGTGGGCACTTTTGCCTCACTTGTGCCCAGGAAAATAACCTATCAGATCTATGATTTAAATTGCCAAGGGTGAGTAATTAGTTCTCTGTTACTCTAAGAGACTCCAGCAGTGTCCTGGATGTTCCTGCAGCCTTTTGGAAGAGCATCCTGCTCATGTACTTAGTTTAGCAGAATAATACATTTTTCTAAATATCAGTAATGTCAGCAAAAGAGAGAAGACATAAACTCAGTCTGTGCTTGCCTGCTACTACTATAAAAATGCAGACTGAATTATGAAAATTGACTGTATTTCAAGGAAATCGTCTGTATTTCAAGGAAATCTTGCCCTCAATCAGTTGATAGATTTGCATGGGGAATGTGAGCATAAAAAGGGAAAATTCTGTTGAGATGATAGAAGTTTTAAGAGGAAAAGTGATTCCACTGCTTTTAAAATTTGTAGATCAAAGCTGTTCCACCTGTCTGTGACCTCCTGAGCGTCCTGAAAAGGGAGGAAGAAAAGTGTGCTGAGACTCTCTCCCTGGAGGCACAGAACAGAACGACTGAAAATGATCTGCTCCTGAGCTCAGGTAAAGGCTGAACGAGTGCTCTCAGATGAGCTGGGTGGCCTCAAACTCAGATACCTTCACATCCCTTCCCACTGGAGGCATGCACTTTGTGTGCATCTCTCATTTAGGAGCAGAAAAACACATAAGATCTGTTATAAGCCTTTGAGAGTGGGATTTTGACCCCTTACTGTGACAGCAAGAGTTGTAGGAACCTTCTAATCCAGTTGCTCAACTGCAGCCTTCACAACTAGGGAACACACCAGCAATCAGGTCTTGCAAATTGCAACCATCACATCTTGGACAAGGATAATTTACAAAGCCACCCCAGTAAGCGCAAATTTACTTAACTGTATTTGCCTTAAAAATCAATGAAGACCAGCAGCCAGCATTTAAATCACATGGCCTGAAGGTCCTCATTGCTTCCTCCTTACTCTAACTTACTGCCACATAACAGAGTTCTTGCACTTCAGTGAGGATTTATCATCATATAAACGAGTACTTTGGCCTGGGAGGGTTTTGTGGTACTGAGTCCTCATCATGTAGACAGCTTTCCTTTCACAGCTGAGCAAGTATGTTCATGTGCAAGGGGTCTCAGAGAAATAACTGCAAGCGATTATTGAAACTTACCTATGAACTGAGTGTCAGTTCCCCCAGGCAGCAGCTGGGTCAGCATCTCACAGGGTGCATTGTATGGAGGCAAGACCATATTTTTTGTACATCACTATTTTTTGTACATCACCAGCCATCAGCACTGAGGATGGGGTTGTGTCATTCACAGCATCTCACAGACTGAACTACTTCAGTGGAATTCTGCAGACCATAACACGGCAAGGTCCTCTCCAGTGTGAAAAGTGAAGGAGCTCCCATGAGATGTGCTGTGTGCAGGGTGTCCTGGCCAGAGACAAGCTAGAGTTGAGGTTTTTTCTTAGTTTCAAAGCCTTCCTCTCCAGGAGAGAGTGTTGGAGACACAGAACCGTTTCGCTGTGACCTGGCCCAAAGGCAGGACTCAGAGAGAAGATGTATCACCTAGTTTCTTAGGATGCTTAGCATTTTTCTCTGACCTTGTTTTGTCCCTGTGAGCCTTGTAGACTGATGAGTGTGAGCACAGCTTCAGGGCATTGTGCCCCTGTAGCAGGGACAGGGTACCCTATGGCAGGGTGCCAGATACTCCTCAAGAGAGATCTGTCTCATTGTCTATAAGACGTTTGACGATATGAATAAATCAGTATTATTTGTTTCCTTCAGCAAAGAGGAGGGTGGTTTGTCAACCTATCTATTTCTCTGCTTTGGTCCTCTGACATGGCTCTACTCTTTCCTTTGCACCAGAGCTCCATAGATGCAGACAAGTTAAACTTCACAGGACTGTGCAGGTATGGACCAGCACTAGCATTAGGAGGCAGTACCATTTTACAGATGGTCTTATTTTATCTCGATCAAATACTATCTCCCCAGCAGAGACTTAATCCGGTTTTAAGTTGGATCCACATCTTAAAATTCCCCTGAGGCATCTTGTTACTAGAAATTTTTTAACAGGATACTTCTACCTAAAATTCTACTGAACCCTAAGAGGGGTTTTTTACTTGGATAAATTAGGGAGTGATACTTTTATTCTGTGTAATAACACATCTGAAAATACCTCCAGCCTTTAAGTATCTGTATGTCTGAAGTCCACGTGCAGAAAATCCCATACAGAGACTTCAGTTTAAAGAAGAGAGAAACAAAACTCTGGGATGCAGTACACACCCTTGGTGGGTCGTGCAGGGAGGGAGAAAGGTGGCTTTGCAGGGTGTGGGTCACCTTCCATACCCCATCCTTCCTGCACCTGCCCCAGAATCTTTGACTGGTGCAAGCAGGGGACAAGTTCCCACCATGCTCCCACCCACGTCTCTGCTGCAGTGCTCACATCTCTGTGAAGATGGCACAAACACACAGGGTTCATTGCTGGTGAATCAGGCACAAAGTACCTGAGCATTGAGTGTTTCTTATCCTCCTGCAGTATAAGGGAAAAGGGACTCTGCCCTTGTGATACCATTAGCCTGGTAAAGGGCGTAGTGTAACATTAAAGCAACCCAAGTCACAGTTATGCTCTTTTTTGTGCATGAGTGAAGACAGGATAATTCTCTTGGGAGCACAGCAGGGAAGCTACTGGAGATCTGGGACCTCTGATCATGGTGACACCATGTATTGCTGCTTGGGGAATGCTCTGTTTGCTACTTTAGGGAGATCCCAAAGAGCACAGGAATGTCAGGGAGGTGTTGCTGCACTTTGGCTCCACCCCAAGGCTCTTTAGCTAGGTAGGGGTGGGTCCACGAGGAATGGCAAGAAGCCCACCGCAGGAGGAATGGCTCCTCTGGGGTTTGTTTTCTCCTCCTGGATGGAAACCACCCCAACACTGTAGTTTTGCCAGGTTTTCCTGTGCACTGAGTCTGATTTGGGGGCTCTATGCCAGTAGCATTGGCAAAGGTTCGATAACCCAAACAATGCACCACGTCAAGGCACAAATATCAGCCAAGGTGATGTTTTGTTTGCCATTAAACTGTTGCTTTGAAGTAAATGGTTACCAAATCCTATAAACATTGGCACAGGGGAGACACTAGAGCTGAGGTGAACAACTCTGTGTTTTCAGGCACTGTTGCACTGGAGGAAATCAATGCATTTCTAGAAATGTAAATATTTTTGTCAGGCTAATGGGAGGCTGGGCTTATAAAACATAAAGTGTTTGAGGAGGTACTTGGTCAGCACTTCCTCCCCTCAGCTTTCAGGGAGCGTGCAGGGCAGACGGCACATGTCTGGATACACCAGGAATACGGTGGTGCTGGCGTGCTCCAGCGGCCTTTTTCTTCCCCTATCTTGTTACAAAACCCACAACGAAGGCTGTGCTAAAACCAAGGATGGAGAGTGGAGGCAAAAGGGAATGAACCTAAATGATTTCAGCCTATATCTGGAAAAGAGCAAAATAACAAATGGCAGGATTGCAGTTTCTCTGTAGTACAAAGAGCATGAAATGTAGGTCTTCTCTACTAACACTCTGCACTGCAGGCCAAAATTCATCCATGCCAGACTCCAGCACCTAAGCAAGATGTTCAAGTAGAGATCCCCATCATGCTGTGCTCCACTGACCATTGGATCAGCTCCCTGGTGCATCTCTACCAGCCCTGCCAGAAGGCAACACAGCCAGGCCAAGGGTGCAACTGGAAAATTCTCCTTCTCACCCTGACTGTGGGAGGGGACCATGACAAACCCATCCTTAAAATAAGCAGCCCTTGCACCTAACTGGGGAAAACAGGGTGAATCTGGGCAGCCAAGCCCAGCAAGTGGTCTGTTGGCATTATTCACGTCAGCACAGCCTTGGCATAAATGAAAGAGAGAAGTATTTATGGTGATAAAAGAATGACATTGATGTTGTTCCTCACTGTCCTTTCCCCAGTATAATTCTGAAGCTGTTTAAACTCCTAGTCACAGAATCACAGAATCACAGAATCACAGAGTGGGTATGGATGGAAGTGACCACAGTGGGTCATCTGGTTCAACCTCCCTGCTTAAGCAGGGTCATCAAGTTGTATTTTTTCCTGTTTACAGAAGTATTATGTAAGGAAGCCATTAGGGTGACTCAAAGTGGAAGCTTTAGAAAGACTGAAAGCAAGCTAAAAAATTCACATGTGGTTTCCTTCATCTTCTCAGGGCCATTCAATAGTTTCCAGAAAACAGATGGGTAGCCAAGGGCCTGATGTGACGTTCATAATGACTCAAATTGCTCTTTGTGTGTCTAGGAAAGACCAGTGGGGTCAAGGACCAGAAAGGGACAGGTCTGAAGCTTGCTGGGGCTGGTTTGAAGCAAGCAGGACCTATTCTGTCCTATCCAGGTCTCAACAGGTCTCAGCAGGACTTGCTCTGTCTCATCCAGCTTGCTTTCCAGAGTAGTGAGCACCTTTGTTCCTGTAGCTGCCTTGGTCGTGGGGAGATGTTGCATGGTGTTGCATTGCTTGGAGATGTTTCACAGTATTTTGTTGTTGGAAGGAGTTTCACGGTGTCACATCACTGGAAGATGCTGATGGTATTTCACTGTTGCCCCCCCCCAGGCAGGTGTGCTGGAATGTGGGATAACATGAGTTGCTGGCCTTCGTCTACTGTGGGACAGACTGTCAATGCTCATTGCCCCGAATTCTTCCAGATGCTGACTGGGAAAAAAGGTAACACTAAAATTATGTTTTTCCTGCCCAGGTGTTTTTTATTAAACTGTTATTTATGAAACACTTTATTTTTTATTTATTTACAAAGATGCCACTGTCAGGTCTGAACTTGAAGTGAAATTTTGTCCCTGCTTCTTTCAAAGAACAATGGTCAGTTAGCAGCTCAGTTTCCAACACTAAGTTAAATATGGAAAAGCCTGGAATTATAGTAGCAAGATGTTTTAAGTGTTTATTTTTCTTCACCAGGTGGAAAAAAGTACAGGAAGTAAATGTTATCCTGAAAAGCAGGGGTTTTTAGCATGGTTTCTCAAGGGAAAGGGTTTTCTCCACTTAGGTTCTGTGTTTATTTCTGCTTTCTGCTTTTAATAACTCTTGGAGCCAGTGGATGATCTCAGCTGAGCTTGATGGGACAAAACTTCACACAGCATTAAGTTCACACAAGTTTTGGCAAAACATCCAGACAGGTAGGCAGAAAAGATCCCTTTTTTGCCCTCATCAAGAGGAAATCTGCACTGGGAGTTTATCCTTTGGCTCTGACAGGCTCCACACAAGTGGCACAAACTCATGGAAACTCGGGTTTCATGGCTCACCAAAAAAACTCAAGTCAAACTGAGATGAGCTCAAGCAATGCTTGTCCTTTTCCTGGGACTTAAGCTAGAAATGAAATGAAATTTACTCCCTGTAGGCTACAGTAATCATGAGCTATTAAGTAAGCCTGCTTTCTGTTCATTTCTAGTTTTCAAGTAATACCTAAGAAATGTACCTGCATTTCTCTTTAGCGAGTTAATGATTCCAATCAGAAGAAAGTTTTGCATTCTTCAGTTATAGGGCATGGATTAATGAGGTCCAGTACTTACAGAAAAGCAGACAAATTCATTTTATGAGGGAGGAACAGGAGACAAAGTATTAGATTGTCTAATAAAGATTAGATAATTCAGAAGAAAAGCACTTAGTGATCTTTAAATAAAATCAGACGTGAGCCACTCAGATTAAAATAAATACCGCGCTACTTTCCGTACACACGAACAGTATCTGCCCATTGAGCCCTATAATTTGGTTTAAAGACAAAGAATAAACTACATAAAGGCACAGATCGCTGAAGAAATCATCCATCTGACATTCGCTCACAAATCTTTAGTGTAGGGATACCGGCCCTTAAACAAAATCCCTGCTGGTATGGCCACTAGGGGGAACTGCTCCCTGCTTCTGGCCTTCCTACCAGGGAGGAAAGCAGGAGTTTGTACATCCAAAGGTCATAATTACATCTCAAATGTTCACTGCGTTATCTTGGAGATAGTCTAACAGCTTACACTTTAGTTGCCCTCCTTAACGAGAAGCTGAGAGCTGAACCACTTCTGATAAACAACAATCAGAGTGACAGTGGTCAAAATAGAACCCCAAGATGTGGTCCAATGGCACTTGCATATTATTTCTGCCTCCGCATCTGGCATTTTGGGTCAAAGTCAGCAATAATTTATCCTCGTTCTCATAGCCACATTCTTCTTTGACTTTATAATGTGGTTGGCTTGTGACTCCTGCGTTTAATTACTGCTGTAGTCATTGCCCTGTTTGAAGCAATTTTGAAAAAGAAAAACAAAGATCTGCTTGCTTCAAAAGAAAAGCAAAAGTTTTCTCTCTTGACCACTTACAAAGCACATGGGCAGCCACAAATCCAAAGGCCCATAGGTTAAGCCACGTAGATGGCTCTGAGCTCTGCCCAAACCCTGCTCTCTGTGATGCTGAGTTTTGTTCTGACATCTAGACTAGCATTTGCAGCCCAAACTGTCTGGTCCCTTTCCACCTAACAGACCAAAGAATCAAAATTATCTGGAACCGATTAACACAACTGAAGTTCACATCCAGACCTGCACATTGTGTCTCAGACAAGAAAGGAAGGAAGGTGTGCAAATCGTGAGGATTCAGAGGCAGAGAAAGCCAAATCTGATGGCCCCAGTTCCTCAGCCATCTCTTTAGCCAGTTCCCCTTTGCCTAGGCAACTTCAAAAGCCTCACACGGTACCAGTAAACACCAAGCACTGATCCTTAAACAGCTGCAGACCCCAACTCTGCTCTGAGTGGGGCGCGCTGCAGTTTCCCCAGTGTGTGTGTCACCCATAAACAAGGAGCACTGCTGAAATTTTGCTCATGTCCACCCTTATAACATGTCTGGCATTATCTCCTGTGCTTTGCATATGATGAAATCGAACACCAACACAGAACTTCACGCCTTCTTCTCTGATCTGCTTGGACAGCCTCAGGCAAAAACCAGTACAGGTGTGTTTACAAGCACAATGCTCTGCTGTGTCTTAATAGTTGATGCTGAAGTGGAGAATCTGTCACCACACCACTCCCTTGTTGAGTGCCAAGGCAGGCTGGGGAGGACTGTTTGGGAGAGCTGTTTCTTTCCTATTGTTGCTGCATTGCAGCAGGCATAGAAAACCTGCCTTATAAAGCAAACCTGGCCCTTTCAAAGATGCTAAGCTGGAATGAGATGTTCAAAACAGCATCAGAACAATAGTCTGATACAGACACACCCAGAGCTCTTCCCACTCAGAGTTCTCAGCATGTTTGCTGTGCCCTGCAGGTTTACAGAGGTGAGTTCAAATCAAGTGCAGAGATGCTGTCAGGTCACCAGCATTAGCCCAGAGGTAGCAGGAGCCCCAACTCTGTCCTGACAATCCCAGCAGGGCTCCAAAGAGCATAAACCATTGCCAAACACTGTTGCATATACATCTCCCTCCGTTCCCTCAACACTGTGGGGATGTTTTGCAAGAGCTAGATGCCCTGGAGTCCTCATGGCTAAATGTGTGGACAAAACCCAAACTTTTATTGTGCCTTCTGGCAAGGCTTGTACTAAGAAGGGCTGCTGATTTCATATCCCTTCTCAGACCCTGCTAGCATTGCAATCACTGTAAAAAAGCCAGGATTTCATTCCATGCTTCTTAACAATGGCTCTTACCTGACAGATAGATGTGATTAGGACAGTGGGCAGTGGTTTCACTTCTTTGAAATAGTTTTTCTTCTCCTCAGCACATAACCTTCATGCCTGCTAGGGTAATTTTCTTCCAATGAGATTGTCAGGTGTGTAGGGCAGGACTTCCCACTTCCACTTTAGCACCAAATATTCACATGGATGAGTTTGAAACTATCCTATTCAATCATATTCAACTTGCTGGGGATCCATCTCACTCTGCTTTAGGAGACTAAAAGTCAGCAGAAGCAGGTCAGACAAACTGCCCTCTGCAGATATCCGTCCAAAAAATGAGTTTGGATTCTGCAAATGCCAATTTTTCTCCAAAGACAGACATGAGGAACACAGTGGGACTCAAGCATTCAGCTTTCAGAAGTTGAACTTAAATGAGGGCAATCTTCTTTAATTTCCAAGTAAGCAAGGAAATTAACAGTCTAAAATAATATCCAGTCTTGGCTATGTGGAAAAGCCTTTTAGTTTTCATTTAAATCTCACAAAAAAATCTGTGACCATCTACAGTTTCTTTGTCCCTTTGGAGCATGACAAACCACAGTAAGGAGGTGGGACCATTCAGCAAAGTATCAGGTTTACATGGAGTATGAATCTGTGATTGAACAAGTCATGTGTTTGCTGATCTTGGAATAGTGGCCAAGAAACACTAGATGTACTGAGCAGTATTATTTATGTTGCAATTAATAAAAACACATCCATCACAGTCATCCTTCAGTGGGCAAACAATATTATGACCCACACAAGTACACTGGGCAAGTATCAACAGAATTAGCTCAGCTGCATTTCACCTCCAGCTATGCAGAGTGCACTGCCTGGGGGCACATGTTCTCCTGGCTCCTGCAGAAACCCTACATAGTGGTGACTGACCCCTGAGGAGAACAATGATACAATTGGAAATGGCCATACTTTGTTCTGTCTTTTTTTTAATTGTTACCACACAGGTTTTGTCTACAGAAATTGTACAAGTGAGGGCTGGTCAGACCCGTATCCGAGACCTGATATTGCTTGTGGCTACAATGTCAATGACACGACCAACGAGGCAAGAGTGAGTCTGAGTGCCCATGACCACAGATCTGCTGCTTTGGGGCCCTGGGGGAGGAACATGTTAAGGAGAGACTGAATGATGTTGTGATCTAACTCAGGTGGGGTTATTGTTATTGGTGGTTTTCAGCATGAATGCTTCCTGCAAATGATCAGAATAGGTTGCTTAGGGTAAAATTTCAGTAGCTGATTTTACAAGAAAATTTAGTCATTAAATAGGAGGAGATACCTTTCTCTTGGCATGGGCTAATCTCTACCACACAGACAAAGGTAAACATGTGATTATGTGTTTCCCTGCAGCGTTCCTATTTCATGACCTTGAAGACCATGTACACCGTCGGATACTGCACCTCCCTGGTGACGCTGATGATAGCCTTAGCGGTCCTGGCCTCTTTCAGGTGAGGAGGAACATCTCTGGTTTGTGTTTGGCCAGGACTTCTGGTCATCTCAGCTGACGCAAATCCTTCAATTGGCTTTCAGGGCAAGTTAAAAACTGAAGTATTCCTGAAAACCTTCACAGAAATCAGTGAGAAAATTTATTTCTGAGTTTTGACTCCCAAAAAATGTCAGACCTGCTCATTACATTGTGCTCTCCAGTTCTTTGAAAATGTAGCTGGATGAATGTTGCAGGTGGCATTTGCACCAGCTCCCTGCTAAGGTCTTCCCATGACTTCAGCATCCCTTGGGCAGAGTGTCTTTCCCCCTGCTGCTCTTTTCTCCACTTCAGACTGTGGCTAAAACTTTGCTCTAAGTGTCACTGCATTGAATTCTGGCAAGGTGTTTCAGGTTTCTATCAGCAATCTGACAGTCAGCTTACCTTCACGCACCCCTGTAACCTGGAATTTGTACTGTGCTGCTTATTGAGTGAAATTAATTTCCTTTACAGTAAACGTCAGGGCAGCATGCCTGGGTAGAAGGAAACCCAAATACTTTGAAAATTTATATTCAGGCTGCACGGACTCCAGGCACAGATTATGTGGTGATTTAGTACAAAAAACATTGCAGGCACAAGTGAACTGTGCTGGCAGAATAAATAAATTCACCCAGGTGTGAATAAACACCTTGGGTTCATGTTGCTCCAGAAAGAGGGAGGGAGGCTAGAACAAGCATATTGGTATGAAATCACAATCTTTCTGGCAAGGTACAGCTTGTTTTAGTACTTGAGTGGAGCAGATGTGACTACAGCTTTTTAAGGTCTTCTCTAGGATATTCCTCTTGGGAGATGCATTAGCCTTTCTTTCTTTCACAGACAGAACAACATTGGTCTTCATTTGTCAGTTTAGTAATAGTGAGGTTTGAAACCTGCTGTTTACAGCCACAGGCTCCCCACACTGGCAAGGAATGTCAGTTCACAGGATCTCTCTTTTTTTCACAGAAGACTTCGCTGCACAAGGAACTACATCCACATGCATCTCTTCACATCGTTCATTTTGCGAGCCTCATCCAACTTCATCAAGGATGCTGTTTTGTTTTCCTCTGAAGACATAAATTACTGTGGGGCACACACGGTAATCCTCTGCCTTCCAGTTTGCTCCACCCCTCAGTCTCCCAGCAGGATCCTAGCAGGATGTAGTGAACAGGGAAGGAAACCTCCATCCCAGCTTTACATTCATCATGAGGGGTTATGGGAGAAGTATGCTCTGCCCCTTCTCTGAGAACACATTAAATATTGCTGACTTACACTTCAGTGTGAGACCTGATAGGGGTTTGCACTCAGAGTCTGGGAAAGGAACCTTCCAAATTTTGAAATGCTTTTGCCTTTTTCTTTTTACCGGCAGCAAAATATTTTGAAAATTTGGGTGTGCAGAGGGGTGAGCAACCCTGGAGATGATGGTCAATGCATTAAACTAAAAGATAAGAATTAGGAAGAGAAACAAATATAAGCTTGTTTTGTTTTAACCCACCAGTTTTGCTGGATTTTTTTTGCTGAAAAAGAACATTTTGAGCACATTTTAATTTGTCTTTAGCAACTGTTTTTCTTGGGGAAAAAAAGATTGATAGATACATTTACATGCTCTCTAAGGTGATATTAGTGTTACTGATACTAAGAAGGCAGTAATAGTGAAACTCCTCTGAAACAGTAATCTGAATCCATGTGCCTATGACACATTCAGTTCTTCTAGTGAGGCAGTTGATTAATGCACTTAGCAGTTCCAGCCCTGCTTTCTTGTCATGTGAATGTTTGTCTCGAGGACACCCATTTAGTTCCCTAATTGCTATAAAAACTCTATTTGCCAAGATTAATTTACAGCTTGCTCTCTCTGTTAGAAGGTAGATACAAACCCAGGCAAAAGCTAATTATCATCTCTTTCCTCAGGCTGGCTGCAAGCTCACCATGGTCTTCTTTCAGTATTGCATCATGTCTAACTACAGCTGGCTCCTCGTGGAGGGACTGTACCTCCACACTCTCCTGGTTATTTCTTTCTTCTCGGAAAGGAAGTTCCTCTGGTGGTTCATTGTCCTCGGATGGGGTACTGGTTCTCCCTTCAGTAAGAATAACTGGGTTTGTTTTGCCTTTGGGATGGACTCCTGAAGCAGTAACTAGCTTTTTCAACTGCAGGTGCCCCAACCGTGTTCGTGGCTGCATGGGCGACTGCCAGGCAGCTCCATGAAAATATTGGGTAAGTTTTATGGAGGGGAGGAAGCTGGCAAACCAAGGAGAGCATGCAGCCTCTGTGCAGGCTGCTTCATGGGATCCTGCTCATTTCTAACTGCTGACAGCCAAGTAAATCAAACACCATCCTGCTCTGGTGGGAGCCTGGATCCTAGTGTGGGTGGGAGTAGCTGAGCAACCTGAGGAAATACATCAAATTCCATTTCAACATTTTTCAAGGGTAGAAGGTAGCTTTCAAGTATGAATTCAGCCCATGATGTTTTCAGTATCTGTATTTGACTTTCTGAGTGGTGAAACTTTGTTCCTTTCTCTTTCTCCCTTCCAAAATTCTGAACAGTGTTTGTACTTTATAAGACGGTCAAACTGCTGTCCAGTGCAGATGGACAGTTTTCTGTAAGATATGTTGTACCACTAAGTGAGAACAGGAAATAAGTTTTGGAGAGAAGGGAATAGGGGCCTATCTGAGGTGCAAAACAGACTAAACCTCTTTGAAAAGACACCAGTGTTTTGATAACTGACTGCACCTTCTCTTCTATTTTTACAGGTGTTGGGACATTAACACTAATGCCAATACCTGGTGGATCATTAGAGGCCCCATAGTTTTGTCTATTTTTGTAAGTCTTTTCTGGGACAAGCAGATTCAAACTGTATTTTCAAATACTGTAAAGTCAGAGATCATCTACTCAACATGCTTTAGAAGTGTGTTAATGAACCGATCTTAGACATGTGTCTGAACTGGTGTGACACATAAATTACTGCTTAAGCAGCTTCTGCTCAGCAGGACTTAGTCACTAATGCCCCAAAGCTAAGTTCACAAGGAAAGCTAGAGTGTCCTCCCAAGAAGCAAGAGCCTGAAGAAGATCAGGTTTCCACATCCTGTTGATTGCATATGAACTTGGCTGGCTTGTGGAAGCTTGTTTTGGACTGTTTCAAGGAAGGCTCCAGAGGAGGAATGAGTGGCTGTACATTTCTGTACAATTGCCTTTATGTGTCCTGGTCAATGTCCCTCTCAGCAAAAACAAAACCAACTTGCCTTACATGACCACTGTCTTTTGTTTTAAGCAATGAAAACAACTCACAGACTGCACACTCCACATATCAGTGGACAGCAATTATACTATAATGGCATTGCTCAGTGAATTAAGGCACAGGCATTGAAAATCAGTGTGAACCTGCCCAGTAGTGATGGCAAGACCAGTTTGGTACACATAATACTCAGCGGCTGTGGTTGAATATTTGCTGGTGCTCACCTTCAGAGACTTAGGTACTAAGGGGCTGGAGCTGCTGTTCTGCCCAGTGGAGATGCTCTGGGTCAGACCACGCTGCAGTGACCTGTCTGAAGCCCTAGTCCAGAAACATGTGAACTGCTGGTTGCTCTTAAAGTGACCTGCTGACAGTCCGAGCGAGAACCCAAGAGCAGGTTGAGGTTTTTGCATTGCCAGTAAGAACCATTATGTTTGCAAAACACAAACTGAAACACTTGTACACCCTCAGAAACCCAGGTAGCAGAGATGGTGGGTAAAGTTCTGCTCTGGTTTACCAGTGAGAAATCCTGCAACTCCACAAGACCGCACAAGTGATTTCGGATCAACTTAAGGAGGTCATGGCATTTATTTTTCCTAATGAAACAACCCTCACCCTAGGAGCCACTCGCCAATATTTAAATGTCAACAAGACCCAGGCATTCTGCAAGACAAAAAGCACAATCTTAGTTTATCTTTTGGCGGCCACCACCTGCTATTGCCTTCCCACTTCCCTCAGAATGCTGATCATGTCTAGTTTAGCCATAGAAGGCTGGAGCCGCCTACATGACTGCCTCTTTACCAAAAAGAGGCTTTACTCAAGCCCATAACCAAACAAACAGCCAGTTCTTAAGAACACAGATCTAATCTCTGTATTCCTCACAGCCTTCAGCAGTTCAAAGGGCAGAAAAACAGCACCGATAAACACCTTTGTGCTCTCAGACTCATGCTCATTCCTGTGCTGCCCGCGGGCAATTCCTCCCGGCAGGAATCCCGCCTCTCTCCCTTCCCCTGTGGTTTTCATCAACGAAAAGTCCTGCTCAGCCTACATGGCTCATGCCTGGCCTAATGGGTTAAAAACCCCAGAATCCCCGGACCTAAACCTCCTTTTCCTCCCCAAACCCCTGAAACACTTCGGTCTTTCCTTCATGCTCCCAACCCCTACCTCCTCCCAGCTCTACTGCTTTCCTCATCCTTTCCCAGCTTCCCCAAACTTCCAGCCTTCTCTAGACACCCATGTAGCCACACTTGCTCCCTTTCCAGGGACTTCCTGGGTCTGTCCCATCTCCAGTGGACCTGCTTCTTTTAGAGAAACCCGATAGCCCAGAGCCCTGCTCCAATGTCCACAGAGGAATGCACTTCTGGGATGGTGTTTCCAGGCACAGGGAAGGGTTAAGGGCCTGACATGGTGCAGGGTGTTGCAAAAGGGGTGCAGGTCTGCGGGCTGTGCAAGATTAACCCGAGGCTGTGCCTTCCCTGCAACTCCCACTCTTTGCCTGAGGGTCAAACGAGAAGAAACAGCTATTGCCTCATCTTCACCCAAACTGAGCAGCAGAGCAGCATTTCTATCTGATATCCACCCTTGGAGAGGGGGAAAATGCAAAAGGAAGAACTCCAGTGTCAACTCTCTCCTCTCCCCACTTTTAACTACTTTGCCTCCATGATCCACTTGCAGTCCCAGTTAGCAAGTGATAGCTCCAGTGCTGCCCCTTTGCTAGCAATCAAAGTGGGTTGTGTCTGAACTCCACAGCCAGAAGGGATCCTACCAATGCACCCGGCCTCCCTTCCTGCTGGTGATTTACCTGGATAATAAGCCCTGATCATGCCCAGAACTAAAGCTACAGCAAATGGGCAGGGAAAGCAGCTAGCACCCAAGCCCAGGGTGGCCAGGCGGGCTGGAGAGGCAGGGACAGAGACTGGGATGTGGACATGGACACTATTTCTGCCTGCTTTGCCCAAACACCCCAAACTGGCTGTGCTGATAGCTGGCAGTTACATAAGTGGATACTGCTTGTGTTGTGTTTGTTTTTGCATTCTTATCTTTTTTATTTTCTTTTCAGATTAATTTCATTCTCTTTGTCAACATTTTAAGAATCTTGATGAGGAAGCTCAGCTCACCTGAAAGACGGAGCAGTGATTTCAACCAATACAAGTATGTCCCCTACATGCCATGTAAGTCCACCTGAGCACTTCTTGCTCCTTCTACACCAGCTTTCCCCTCTGTTTTCATTCTCAGGAGACTTGCAAAGTCAACGCTCCTCCTCATCCCTCTCTTTGGGGTCCACTACATCATCTTTGCTTTCTTCCCTGAAGATGCAAGCAGCGGCGCAATGGAAATTCAGTTGTTTTTTGAATTGGCTCTTGGATCATTCCAGGTAATATCTGACAAGCTATTATTTCTTTAAAGTAAGAGCCAGAACATCTAACTCCACAACAGAGCAGAGTTCCAGTGGCAAAGCCAAGCTGTCTGATTTCCCTTGAGATGCCTCATCCCCATTCAAAAGATGGAACTGCAGTTCTGTGACCACATTTTTTTTATCTTTTAGGGCTTTGTTGTGGCTGTACTTTATTGTTTTCTTAACGGTGAGGTGAGTTTTGTGTGTATAACATTCTTTTTTATTGCTGAAGCATGTCTCATTAATCAGGGGGATACATTCCCCAAAGAATGACATGTTTTATCTGAGGGTTTTCTTCCCAGCTACCTAATATCACTCATGAAATACCTCCTGGTAGCCTAAGTAATTGTATGCCAGATGCAAACTTCATCTCTCAACTATTGCAACCCTTTCATGAATCAGATAGCATTTTTACTGTCTGGGAATGGAGGGTAGGAGCACCATCCTGCACACAGTCACACTGACAACTGGTTCTGATGTATGGTGCTATTACCTGTCATCCCATGGCTGTTTCTTTGCTTGATCCTTGGGAGGGAATTTATCAAGAGCTATATCCAGTTCAAATTTATCAGTATTCTCATAAGCTAAAGCTTTTGGTAGAGGGACCATTTCCTTTGTAGTTTCATGATAACTCCCAGGCTTCTTGCACTCTGAAATGCTAAACCATTGCCTAAGAAGAAAAAGTCACTTTGAAATGAAAGAGGGATTTGAAATACTCTGACTGATCCTTTAACAGGGCTCAGAAAAGGTTGTTTTGAAAATAAAATCTGCCTTTTTTTTTTTTATTATTTTACCTCAGAGTGCCAAAATGTCCTGTTTTTATAAGTTAAAATAAAATTCTGGAAAAATCTAAACCAAACACTTACTAAGGCCAGCTAGGTTCTGTGGACTGTTTCACCTGCAATTAAATAGAAAACTGTGTGGCTGCAGCAACAGTATCACTGGAAGTGTCAAGAAACAGGCCCTACCCTAACCCCTTAAACTGAGGGACAAATAAATAAACCTAAGCTTTGGCACAGGCAGCCCGCTCTCCTTTTCTTGTTACACTGCTCTCCGCAGTGCAGGCCTCCAAGATAAACCAGCTGAACTAAGTATTTTGTGACCTTTCTACCTAGGTTCAGCTGGAAGTTCAGAGAAAATGGAGGCAGTGGCATCTAAGCAAACACTTCCGTCAGCATCTCAGCACCTCAGCGAGTAACGGAGGAAGCGGCTTGACTCAAGAGATGCACATGGTGAGGTCGAGCCCACCAGAGCACAGGAGAGAAACCCTCCAAAGATCAAGCATGCTTTAACACCATATGCCTGGAGGACACCTCCATGCTCAGATACACATGGCTAAGTCCCATGGGCTGAGCTGGGAGTCTTGTGTACGTATCCAAAAGCGGGACTTGGCTGAAGGTCAACAGTTCTCGAAGCACATCTGTTCATGTATATCCTGTGTAGCACCACAGTTATTTTGCAAAGCAAAATGGGCCAAAACTCTTCCTTGAGTTTCTGGCCACAGTAATTTGTGTTTCTTTCCACATCAGTATTTTTCAGCTGCTATTTCCACCTTAAATGTGACTTTTCATTTTCCATGTGGCTCTCCAACAGCTTCCAGGCTAATCCAGGCTGGTGAGTTTTAGTTGTTCTCCATTTTTTCTGCCATGGAAGCTGGGAGGACATTCAATTTTAAATGACGAAGGTTACTTGTCGTCCTTAAACACAGCCCGTGGGTTTGAAATGCAAAATTAACACATACCTAAAATTTATCAAGGTTCAAAGCTTTCTTCCTTTGCCTCTTTTAACAGTGGAGACCTTGGAAACAACAGTGGTCCAATTTGGATATTTTTATCATTTTGAAATGGTAAAAAAGCTGTTATTGCATATTCCAAGAGTGGCCTAAAAAACTTCAGAAAGATAGCTACTTCCTATTGTGTTTGTACCTCTGAGACTGGTCCATTTTGTCTTTGAAGGGAAGAAATGAAAGTACTTGAGATGTTTAAAACTCAATTGAACTGGACAGTAGAACCTGTCTGGTGAAAAAAAATATCATATTGGCTACCAAAAATCTCTTTAGAGTCTACAATCACCCAGTGTGCTGAAATCTGCAAGACTGTGCACTGTAATATGCTGTCACAAGGTATTAGAGCTATTACAGTTTTATGTTCTAAAGGACATAAATAAGAAATTTCCTGGTTTAAATGGGAAAAGGATAAAATAGTTGTCCGACAAATGCAACCAAGTCTCCTACTTGATTTTGTATCTGCACTTCCTTAGTTGGGGCGATTCTTGGCTGGGTTTCTTCAAGGGCAAAGATGATTGAATGGAAAGCAAAGGTGTTTATCACTTCTCCCTCCTCCCGATCACCTTAAGACATTGACAAAACATTCATGGTATGTCCAATGCTGCCTGAGCAGCATTTCCCAACCCCCTCTGCCAAAACTGCCCTAACGAGCTTTTAATCACACCAAATGCCTACACGGTAGGCTTCTGCCATTTTATCAGAAGGCAAACAAGCAGAGAAGTTCAAAGGATGCATTCAAGGTTAAATTACCTGTATACAAGCAGGTTTTTGAGTGCTATTAGCACTGTTTGAAACTCTGACATTATTCAGGAAATTTTTTTTTTGAAATAGCAAGCTTTCAAGTCGACTTTGTCCTTTAAAACTCAGCCAAAACAAGTGGAAGGAAGAGCAGAAGCAGGATCAGTCCTGTGACCAAGGGAGAAGTAAAAGCCCCCCCATGAATGTTTAAGTAAAAGATCTCATTTTTGCTGACTCACCAAGCCAAGCAGAGCCTCCAACCTTCTCGGGGGTTCACTCTGTCCCAGCACATTTAGCAAGTCAGATGCTTCTGAAAACATATAACCTTAATTTTCTCTCTGGCCTACGAATGCGACCAAGAAGAATGAAACAACTTGTATGTTCCCTGTCTGAGAATTAAACATTCATCAATCAAGCCAAAGCAGCTGTTTGTTTTAAATGCAAGTGCCTCCTTCCGGCATAAATGAAGAAATACAGATTCAGAGATTCAATAACATGTAATTAATTAGATCTGATGCAATTATTGGCCCTCCCATAAGCCAGTGTAAGAGCTCAGCCCTGCAATGTGTAGTTAGGACCAGCACAAGTTTGGGGGGAGCCCAGCCTGAGCTTGATACATATTTGTACAGGACCCTGGTAAAACAGGAACAAACCACATGTCCCAAAATCAAATGCTGGTTTTTTGCATTTAAGAAAAAAAGTTCTAGCATAATCTATTGTTTTACATGGCCATTTTGGTTTTATTTGTCTTGCCTGAAATAACAAAAAAAAGAGGAATTATTCCCAGATTCTGTATTACACGTTTGCTTCAGGCATTGAGCACAGGCCTGGTTTGTGTGAAGATCTGAGCTTCCACAAAAACTCTTGGATGTCAGCTGGCATTCAGAGTCCTCAGCTCTATGGGAAGAGCATGTCCACTCGGGAAGGAGCCAGAAGCAGACAGCATTAGGAGTTATGATGCTGTGACCTTGTCCTGGTTCCACCTGGGCGTTGGAAGCTGCTGCCAAATACCACCACAGTGGACTGGGTTCTCACCTCCCCCATCTCCTGCAGGCAGTGCAAAAGCTCCCTGCCCTGCTGAGCATCTTGCTTATTTAACTATGCTGAAGGATACCAGAGAAAAGAACTAAGTAGGTCTGGGAACACTGACATGTTTATAAGCAGATGAAAAGGAACAGGAAAATAAATCTCAGCGAGCAGTGCAAAAAGCAGGAGGTAAAGGCACACAGGCTGAACACAAACAACATATTCAGAGTTCACCAGCTGCTCTTTCATTCATTACACTTGCTCTTGAGTATTCAATGTAAAGCAGGTGGGTTTTAGCAGTAAATAGAGCCTGAGTACCACCTTTTACTCGAGTCGTTGTCATTGTTCAGGGACAGCGGTGACAGTCTCTGGCTATCTTTTCCAGGTCTCCTGAGGAGCCAGTTGCCCCTCTGCAAGCCAGCAGGGCAGGCAGCAACTCCAGCAGCCTGAGCATCAGCAGTCTAAGAGCTAATGAATTTAAGAAGAAGTGATTAATGTATTTTCTCTCCAAACACAGCAACAAGGAAATTCCCAGCAAAACTATCAGAAGCAAAAAACAGTAGTTGTGCCGTGAATAATTACATTGTGCAATGCTTCAGTACAGGGGAGCTGAAATGGACTGTTTCAGATGGGGTGGATGCAAGTGAAGCTGAGGCCCCAGGAATTCAGGCAACACCCCTTCCAGGACACTGCCTGGGGCAGGCCTTGTTTTCACTCAGAAATGAGGCCCTTCTTGCATCTGCAAGCTGACCTGGAAGGCTGAGAAGGGCCATTATCTGCTTACAATAGGCTTCAGCAGAGGGAAAGAGAAGGCAGCTGAGGACAGTAATCTTCCTGTGATCACGTTCCCTTGACTTGCAAAAGCAAGCAAGGCTCAACCCCATTCCAGGTGTCCCTCCAAGCACAGCTGAAGAAGGTACTGTAGACTTAAAATCAAAATAACATGCTCTAGGGAACCTTGCTTGAGCACAGAGACTGGACTAGATGACCTCCAAGTGGTCCCTTCCAACCTTTACCATTCTGTGATTCTATGAAAATACAGTGCAGGCAGGACACTTCCCGAGCTAGCACACCCTGTACTGTTATTTCCTTTTTCTTATCCACAAGCTTGTGCACAAGGTTCCAAATAAAGTTAGTAACTAAGCCTAAACGACTCATTAACAAGAAGTGATGTTTATTACTTGCTTTTAAGAGATGTTAAACTGTCTGAGACAGGCCAATGACCTCTTCTGTTGGAAAGAGAACACCAGGTGCTAATTAACTTGAGATTATATAAACTAATTCAGTGGCATAGCTGGGAATCTGTTTTCCTGACGTTTAACTAAACCTGTCAGGACAATGAGCTCAGAGAAAAATGCCTAAATATATTTGTACTCAGATACCACTTCTGCAGGCCAAATAATCGGAGCTGGGGAAAAGAGCAAAGATGCTTCAGACACGGGGTGCAGTGTGGGAAAAGGAAGGTGAAGGACACAGGAAAGAGCTCTTTAGCTGGTAAACAGAGCACATGCAACAGCAGGAAATCATTAAGAGCCTAGAAGGTTATCTCCAGTTCCCACGAAGCTGCACAGCTGACTGCTCCTCTTGTTTTGCAAGACACGAAAGCAATGCTGGCTGCTTGTGTTGGTGTGGACACACTGGAGGGAAAAGGAGAGGGGAGCGTGCAGTGGCCTCAGTTCCCTTGGTCAGAGCTTGGCAAAGTGCCAGGCAGTCATTTCTTCATCAGTCTAGCTGCATACACAAACACAGAACGGTGCCTGGGAGATTATGTAAAACCCCAATCATCTCCTTAAATCTGCACCCCGATATCTAAACATAAAAAGAGAGAATTACAGTTCTTATTTCAAATAAATTTATTTAAGAAACTTTAGGAATATTTCTTGGAACTTCCACAGCCTTCAGAAAATGAACAGTGACATGCTGCTGCACAGGTTGCTGTATATAAGGATGTCTCCAAGACAATCAACCCTGTTTTGTAATATTTAGCTGTCAAAATGCTTCTTCTCCCAGCATAATTAAGTCAGTAGTACTGCAGTACTACACAAAACCAGTTGGAAAAAAAGCATACAAAAGGTCTCTTCTTCAGCTAGTAGAGAGCATCCTACAATCATTCACAATTGCACCACATCTAGGATGAACTCAATGGCCAATTGTCCACTGCCTCCCTCCAACCCAAACGGGAGGCACCAGCCTGGAACTCAGTCTGGCTATGGCTGCCTTCCAGGGAAAGGGATGGGGGCACAGCCTCCCACTAGCACAAAGGAGTGTACATGCAGAGCTGATTTCCAGTTTTGTATGTCACCAAAGTGGCACTTTTAAGTTACATCCATGTTTCTAGACAAGCCATGGACACCCTTAACCTCATGCAGGGGAACTGTCCTGCCTGGCATGAGGGCCCATAGGCAACACAACTGAATCACTGGTTAGTTAAGGTACTCTTAACATCTGCTAACACCCAAGTGCCAACACCTTGGAACCGGACCCTGCAGGATCTCTCTGGCCTAAATGGCTCTGCTAAAGCCAACAGCACTAGTTTATGCAAGCATCTGCATGTTCAGCCCACCAGCATGTCTTCAACAGTGCAGTTCAGCAAATCAAATGCAACTTCAAAAACACAGTCACAGTGCAATTTTCCAGAGGCAGGTTAAAGGCACAGAGGGTCAAGAAACCCCAACAAAGCCCCAAACATTACAAGAGCTTCAGGAGCTCTCTGCGTAATTCCTGACAGAAAGGCAAGTAGATTCACATACAGAAGTACAACTGGCACTGTCCAGAGCAAGCCAGGTCTGAAACTGCATTACAAAACAGGTTTAGGAGTGTTGTCTTAAGTTACAGAAATCCAAGAAGGAATGGATGCTGTCCTCATGAAGGCAAGAGAGTCCACAGGAGCACATTCATCAAGTGTGGTACATTCAGCTCAGGCGCAGCTTAAGACTCTGAGCTTTCAAAGACAAAGCTGTTTACTCATGGCTCACCTACACAGCCTTCTTGGCCTCTATGCTACGATGCTTTTGTTTCAGGTAAAAAACTGTGTCAAACTCGTTGCACAGGAAATTAAAGCCTTGCTCAATAGCTATCACACAAGCTATAGGGATGAACACGTAGAAACATTTGTTCTAAAACAAAAATACAAGCAGCTTTGCCAGTGGATACAAGATAAACAGTAAACCAGAAACCCTGAAATACTCTGAAGACCCTTATATCCGTGGGCATCCAAATGCTGTATGGTGGACAGGAAGGACATGTGGGGCAACCAAACTCTGAGGTCTTCTCTCCTATTACATAAGGCACCATGGGCAACTTCAAAGCTGTAGCAATTTTAGAGATCTTGACTCAGACATTGGCAGGAGGAAGACCAGCCTTAATATGATTTTGGCCAGGTCTCTCTGTATTTCCACCAGCTGTGACAGATTAGAGCTGCACCCATCCGCCCCTCCTTAGGCAATCATGGGCTCCTTCTCCTCCCAGGCTGTTAGTCAGGGGAAGAAAAGGACTTGGTCTGGTCAGGAAGATTTAGAGCTTTCTCCTCCCATAAGAAATGCTACTCTCAGCTACAGGATAAGCAGATTTCCCACTGCCCCAGGGGACACCCCGATAACCAAAACACGCCCCAGAAAGT